AGCAAATAGAGACGGGTTGAAAACACCACATGGTTACATGACTGTATCATCGGTATTTTTCAATCATTGATGAGGTATTCTGCTTGATCCTCTGGCTCTCTTTCTCTCTGTCTGTCTGTCTCTCTATCTCTGTCTGTCTGTCTGTCTCTCTCTCTCTCCCTCTCTCTCTCTCTCTTACCCTTTCTCTTACCCTTTCTCTTCTCTCCCTTTCTCCCCTCTACCTTTCTCCCCCTTCTTCTCACCTCTCTCACTTTCTCTTGTCTTGTTTTTCTTTTGACTCTTTCTCTCTCTCTCTCTCTCTGTCTTTCTCTCTCTCTCTCTCTCTCTTTTCTCTCTTCTCTCTTTTCTCTCTCTTTTTTCTCTCTTTTTTCTCTCTTTCTTTTCTCTCTTTCTCTTTCTCTCTCTCTCTCTCTTTCTCTTTCACTCAACATTCATGCCAGCCATCTCTGTATTTATGTTTGGTTTCCATGGTGAGAGGAATTCCCCAGGGATAGTAGATGAGCCTACCTGAAGAATGAGCTCTGTGGCTCGATCCAGCCAGGTCTAGCCTCAGCCAGTCTATCTTTGATACTTTGATAATGCAGTGCACTGCCAGGAATAAACAAGCATGTATGGGTTTTACCGTTAAAAACTTGTATAGAAGCCCCAGTCATTATATTTATACAGATATACATTTTTTGCAGTACATTTTCATATCGGCCTCATGTTGACTTCTTTGTCTATTCATGATTCTCCTCCGTTGATACATTAATATTTCATAATTTAAAAAGCCAGCTGTTGAATGTTGGCAATAGCAACATGATCATTACGTGCATCTGATTGCCTGTATTAAACATGACGCATTCCCCCCAAATAGGCGTCACTTTGCAGTCATTTGCTGAAACTGCTACACAAGGCCACTTTAATACTGCATGGTCGGCCAACCAACCAACATGAACTATCCGAGATTACCGGCTAAGGCTTGAGTCAGAAACGATGTGTCCGGAACTGGCATTTTGATCAGTAATAGCAAATGAAGAAGCCTCAGAGAAATAGAAAATGGATTGTGAATATGTTTCACAGCTCCTTTATAAGACAGACGAATATGATATGGACTGTGTCATAGTCATGGCAAAGTACTTTGAAGATGAAGAAATTAGAGATGTAGAAGTGCGTCATTGCATGAATTTCTAATCTTTTACCTGATTCCTTCATTTCTTATACTAAGGCTGCATGCTAAGTTTTTTTTTTTTTTTTTTTTTTGGGGGGGGGGGGGGGGGTTGAAATTTCCAATTAGAGGTTTTTATGAACTAGGCCTCTTTTAAATTGTTGGGGGGGGGGGGGTTAAGAGTAAAATTTGATGGGCTCATGTGCAACAGAGTTGGCCTTTGGCCGTAGAGCTGCCATATTAAAAAAGAAATGCCATACATGCTCATGCCAACAAAAGGTTTTAAGAGCAATTAATAACCCACTTCTGAGTATGGAATCATAGGAAAATTAATAATTCAAAAGGATGTGAAGAGTTCTTTTTAGTGCGATAATTCTCATCTTGACAATATATATTGACAATATAGAATCTAAGGATGCACCCATTCAGAGCTCGTGCATGCTGCGTACATGTTTGACTGTCGAGACATACAGTAAACTATTCATGATTTGACCTTTAGCGAAGACCTATTAGTACGCCATTTTGATAGCTGGCATTACTCTTTCGCAACCAACAACATAACATTATTTATTAGAAGTCACCCACATTAAGCCACCATGATTGAGCAGCATGCATGCAAAGATACTCAGCGCGGTTCGGTATTGATTAGGAAAGACGGATATTTGCCGAGAGTGATCCAGCGACAAATCCGATGCCGGGTCTGGAGGCAGCAGTATATAAGCCTTGGATCTTGTTTATTTATACAGATGTATGCTGCAATGATGTGCTACAACTCATTTGAAAATATCCAGGGCCCCAGTCGCACAAAACTAACCATTACTTTGCCATTGATGGTCACTTCCATGGAAACCTTGATTTTGAGTAGCTGTTGAGCCCTGTTACCATGGTAGTAGCCATTGATGGCAAAGTTACCATCAATGGTAAGTTTTATGCAATGGGCCCAGTTCAAACTGTCACACAGGTTATGGAATAATTAAATAAAAAATGGAGACCACAAAAAACAGCTGTAATAAGCTGCAATATCTGATATATGTACACATGCATGTTTTAGGCAAACCTAAATTCAGCTGTAATGCCTGAAATAGTTAAATTATGCATGTTTTATGCAGATAAGATGGATGGTGCTGTTTTTTCATCATCTGTTTAATCATGTCTCACCAGACCTCGCTAAAACATTGCACTAGGCAAATATTGACCATGTTCCTCTCGTCCTGCCTGCCTTCGCATGCATCATGCAGGCATTAGAGTTCACATGGGCATACTAAATGTATGAGTCAGACTCAAAGGTTCATTTATACCAGAGGAAATTTGTATACAAGGAAATTCATATACAAAAAATTGTATGAAAAGAGATGTTGTACAGAGAATCAACGGATAGCAAAAGGGGCGTACACATTGCATAACAACATTTCATTTAGAAACATATTATATATTAAGAAACTAGATTTGAATGGGTCAGTTTACACGACAGCTGGTCAGTCATCAGTGTGCACTCACATTTTTTGTACAATACAATGTTTACCAGACGATTCTTTATCAAGTTTTTGTTCGAAAGGATGCTCAGACATGCATATCTCTATATGACGTTTCATACCAGAATACATTCCAGACTAGAAAAAATAATTACTTATAGCTATACAGTTTTTATGTAGCAATACAATAAATGTTGGTAGTCTGAACAGAGGGTCAGAAAGCAGGAGTGGACTGACTGTCTCGAGTCTGGGGCGGGGATGGAGGAGACGTGATGATGGAAGATGGGTGGGATAGATGACTCTGCGAGAGACAAGGATATATTGAAGTACAGATTACCGACTGGAAGGGTGATCGGGATATGCAGCTGATCTGTCTGTTTGTGTGAAGAGAGCTAGTCTGTAAGATCGTGGATGCTATATTTGCTTCGTTTTGAAATGTTGACACAGATACATACATGTATGCAGTGGGGAGTTAGAAGGGGGAGGGGGTGCATGCTGAGGGCAGTGAACTCACTTTAAACACCCCCCCCCCCCCCAAAAAAAAAAAGTATCCATGAATGAAAACAGGAGGGGCATTAAACACAACTTCTGTCATTTTCAACAAAACTCCATACTAACTTTTTTGTCAAAGGGAATTTTTTGTTAGAAATAATAAGTGGGACTGTAGCAAGAATGATAATGACGTCACTTTTTTAAAAAGATGATTCATGTGGTGAAATGTGAGATAGATGTTGGCCTGGCTGAGTCACATTATTGACAATAAGAATAGACTTTGAATGAATTGAAAGAAATCAATAGCTTGGCCAAGTGACTGTCAAGACAGTTCCAAGATAGCTTGCCGATCGACAGTTACACCCAAGGTAGAAAAAATTGTCTGTGTGGAGCATCTTGGGATGACGAAACACTGTTGCTTGAACTGGAGAAGCTTGGCGGAAGTCTTGGATAGATAAAGGCATGGATTACTCAAAGGGAACACATAGTGTCATGATTGAGAGGGATAGGAGAACATCTTGGCAGTATTTCATCTAACGTAGATGTCTTGCTTTCAGGCTTTATGTCTTACTCTCCCCTCTTGATGTCTTTAAAAGTCTGGAATATTTGCTTTCGATTTTCCTTTAGAAATGAAGCTGTAAATGAGTCTGAAATTCATGCTTATGAGATAATTTTTTTTTGTTAAAGATGGAGTAGTCTATGTCATCTAGACTCTGGTTTTAATGGTTTCCGTGAAACACATATTGGAAAAGCTTGGTCCATCTTGAAGTAAGGCTACTGTCGATGTCTTACATTTGATAGGGTAACATACCATTGTAGATGACTACAAGGTAAGATTAATGACCATGGATGTATGCTTGTAAATAGCATCCACTGAGTCATAAGACCTAAGCCAGTATAAAACCTATTGACAACATCTTTGTGTGTCTCTCTATCTCTCTCTTGCTCTTGGCTATAATGTGATTATGTATGCATCATTATTCAAAGAGAAAAGTACATGATCTTGTCAGAAGTATTAATACTATATGAAACATAGTAAAGAAGTATTTCTGTGTTATTGTGATTAATAAGAGCATTTATTATTTATTATCTATTGATAAAGGAAGAGGTTGAATAGAAACTATCCTTCCCTTCAAAAAAATTAAAATGCACATCGACGCTGATGTTAATTAAACTAATACATGGTATGGAATATTGGGTAGTTCGCCAGCAACTAGACTTTAATAAAACAAGAAGAATTGGTTTTTACTTCAACTCAATGATACAATCTGGATCGTCAACTACCAAAAAAATGGCAAAATCCTTAGCTAGCATTGGGTGAAGTTGGTATCCCAACTTCGTTTATATACTGCCATTGGTGTATGCCTGAGCTGGGTCCTCTACATCATTATGAAACATTGCTTCATGTGGTACTTAGCTTAGACACGTGTTAAAATTGTAATGAGCCCGCTCACTAATGATATTAATTTGTTATTATCTCTTCCCTTTTCTTGTGTATCCTCTATCTCTCCGTCTCCCTATTGCCCTACCCATTCCTCTATGCATCTCATAATCTGTTCTTTATGTTCCATCTTCATCTTCTCATCACACTCTGTGTTTTTGTTTCTACCCTCTATTTTTCTGTTCCTACCCTCTATTCCTATTCAATGCTCTCTCTCTTTCTCTCTTTCTCTCTTTCTCTCTCTTTCTCTCTCTTTCTTTCTCTCTCTCTCTCTCTCTCTCTCTCTCTCTCTTTCTCTCTTTCTCTCTTTCTCTCTCTCTCTCTCTCTCTCTTTCTCTCTCTCTCTCTCTGTCCTGCTCTATCTCTCCACCTCTCACATGTTCAAATCGTAATGAGCCCATTCACTAATGATATTAATTTGTTATTATCTCTCCATCACTCACTCCAGGCCCGTGTCAGCAAGGAGCAAGACCAATTCCTGATCAACCCCTTTGGCCTCCTCTACCACGAGGTCACCGCGTCCTCCCTCGTCAAGCTCGACTCCGTAGGCAACATCATCGACCACGGCACCACATCCTATGGCCCCAACCTGGCCGGCTTCACACTCCACTCCGCTATCCACAATGCCAGACCAGATGTCAAATGCATCCTCCACGCCCACACGCCAGTCATTGCTGCTGTAAGTATCATGGCCGTAATGATCAAAGGATCAAGACATATAACAAGCCTCTCCCAAGAGTTGCCAGTTAAGGTATACCAGGGCAGTGTTTTACAAATTCGCCCACAACCCATTGAAATGTTTCTATTAAAATTAAGACATGTTTCAACAAGATGTTGTACTTATGACAGTTTTGTGAAACATGCCCTGGGGGTGTTTCACAAAGATCAACTTCATGATGATCTTTTTCCTTCAATAATAAACTATCCAAAAAATGTAAATTCTGTAGATTAGTGACCATGATTTGAACATCCCTTGAGAGACCAAGGCCAGTAAATGGTGAGAGAAAACAGTGGCATGAATGGGCTGCCATAGTTTAGTCTAACTTAAAGTCAATCTTAGTCTTTGTGAAACACCCCCTGGTTTGCTTAGTAGTTCCAGTCATATTCAAAAGCATCGAAAGTTATGAATCAACCACTCCTCATTAATCTTTAACCTTTAACCTCCCAGGTATCCGCCATGTCGTGCGGTCTCCTGCCCATCTGCCAGGAGGCTCTCATCCTGGGCGAGGTCTCATACTACGACTACAAGGGCATTATCATCGATGACGAACAGAAGGACAGCATCATCAGGGCGCTCGGTCCCAAGAAGAGGGTTCTCTTCTTACGTAACCACGGTGTCGTATGCTGCGGACAGACCATCGAGGAGGCCTACTTCCTCACGGTCAACGTCGTGGCAGCATGTAACACACAGGTCAGTATTAAGTAAACATGTTTGCTTACTTATTTGCCCTTTGCTCAGGAAAGTTTCCCCTTAATTTGCCAGTCTTTGATTCCATATCATGCTAAAAGTTCCTCCCTCATCTGACAATTTAAATTGAGCATTTGATACTACTTTTGAAGACTGTGTGAACCTGTATTTGAGCTCTCAGTTACCTTTAAAAAAAATGAAACACATCAATCCTTTTTTACTTTCATACTCATTTTCACCTATCCTGTACACATCTAAGGATACCGTAGGTGAAAAGCAATCACCAATGTAAAAAAAAAAACAGTGTTCATTTGACTTTAATAAACCGTGACTTAAAATTAGATGGATTCAAGCCGATTCGTTTACTTCCATAGGTATCTTATCTCTCCAAAAAAAAAAGAATTAAGAAATTGATTTCATTAAAATATTTGATTAAACTTGATGAAACTCTTTTCTATCCAGGTTCAAGCGATGACTGCAGGTATAGACCACCTGATCCAGGTATCATCGGAGATTGCAGAGAAGACCCGAGAGGTCGCATCCCAGGGCGGTGGAGGTGTACAGGGAGACGATCAGATCAAGAAATGGCGCTGGGGAGAGCTCGAGTTTGAGGCCATGATGAGACAACTGGATAACATGGTAAGATGGGAAAAGATGGTGGTACAACTTGTTGTGAATTAGATAAGATGGACGGTGCAGTCTTTCAACCTCGGAGAGCGGATATATCCCACTCACACTCACGAGACCAACACCAGATAGCGATGAACCATACAGGAATTCAGTTATCCTGAATGGCCAAGATTCTGTCAATTAGTTGTCGGTTTGGAGTTGATTTCCGGTTGGTTTGGTGGTGGTACTGGGATATAAGATCATGTTTATGATATTTACAACTATAACCTTATGACTATGGGTTTCCAAAATAGAACTTGGACGTGAAAAAGTTTTAGGATTAGCTATTCCAATGTGCAGGGTTGTACAGTTTAATAGGTATGTACTATGTAAAACTAGCTATATACGTGTACGTGAAGGTTCATCATATTGCATCAAGCTCTAAATGGCTGTGCATGACAAGTTCTAAAAGAGATATCAGCTGCCAAGAGACAGGAGAACATTAAGTCATATCTTTTTATACAGAGAGTTAACACCCGTTTGGCTCTGCACAGATGATTTTTTGTTTCCTTGTTGGGGGAACAATGGGAGAACAGACTTTAGACGAGTTGTATCTGTACTTGATGCAGATGGTCATATTTGAGATGTTGTTGGTATCAGGGATGCCAGTTTTCAGGCCCTTGCAAGTTTTTTTCATACCATAGTTTAGGCTTTTATGTGTACAAACTAGCTCATTCTAGGTGATTTTCAGGCCCTCTGATCAATTCTAACTGGTATCCCTGTGGTATTAAGTACTCAAGTAACCATCTCATACCCTCCCATCCACCCCCAGGGTCACAGAACCGGTTACATCTACCACGCCCCTCTGACCCGGTCTGAACCCAAGCCACGCAGCGACGTCGCCTACCCAGCCGTCTCCACTGGCGTCACCTACATCTACGACGACGACGTGGACGCCAGCAAGTACGAGTCGCCCCTCAAGATGCTCAACAGGAGAAAGGCAAACGAGAAGACCAAATGGATGAACACGCCCAACTCCTATTCCAAGGTGGAGGTGCCCGTGGAACAGAATGGAGAGGAGAGCCCCAAGACCAAGACAAAGGTAGGTACACTCTTCACCTGGGCCTTATTTCACAAAATTTGTCATCAGTGACAAATGACATTTTTTGTTATAAGCTACTGAAATCCTTGATTCTGATTGGTTATCAGCAGATTCGTCACTGATTTTTGTCATTTGTCATTGAAAAAAGGCTTTGTGAAACAGGTCCCTGGATATTGGTCCAAATTGAATTAATGTCATCCTGCAGCATCCCAGGGGCTAATTTTGGAGGATTAAAACAGTTTTCCAGGTTATCTTCAATGTTCATTTGAAAACTATGTATCAAATTGCCAATATGAATATTCATTTGGGAGTAGGAAAACCTTCCTTTACATATTTTTACTTGTATCTGATTGGTTGGATGGTAAAGAGGGAGGTAATTCTATTAGCAGAATGTTTGGGTCGGCTTTGTTTCTTAATTGTTAACGAGTTACGTCACAATAATAATGTCATAGCCCACAGAACGGACGTTAAGGAGTGTATGAGGAACGTACGTGGGGGTAATGATGATAATATCTGTAAAGCGCTTAGAGACAGTATAAATCCAAACTTGAATTGTTATTATTATTTCTCCTTTGCTCTTGTTTATATCAGTGGGTGAGTGAAGTAGACAAGACAGCAGGACACTCCACTAAGCACCAGGATCCTCAACAGTTTGCCAAGCAGAGCGACAACCCTAGAGAATTCAAGACAAACGCCAAGAAGGTAAATCAGCAATATCATGAAAAACAAACCAGTGAAAATCATAGAGTACCAAAGTGCTATAGAGTGGTGAAGTGTGACGTCATTAAAAATCTATTTTTGGAATTTCTCAATCTTTTCTTCATTTTTCGAAAGACCACCAAAATAATGTCCAAATGTCGAAAACCAATTGAATAGGTTAAGCAGAGATGCCAACTAGTACGGATTTCCCGTAATTTCTACGGGAAATCGGCCGATTACGGGCGGTACGATTTTCATACCATAAATTCCGGATTTTGCTGATTTTGCCGATTTTCAAAATTAGCACTTTAAGGTTTAGCACGTTTAAGGTTTAGCACGTACTTTTGACTATTGCAGCGCAGCCATCCTTGAATCCATGCATAGAAATCCCACAGGGCTTCCGATTGGACAATTTGTTATCTAGCACACCCCTTTCAGTGCATACATGTGCATACAACATGTGCTTCGCGAGCGGGGGCCGGGTGAAATACCTCTCTTGGCCGCGCCGCTACCGCCCGCCCATGCCCAGCGCCAGGCCTCGCTACGCTAGCGCCGTGTACACTGTCGGATTTCTCACAGGCTGTCACAGCGTTCGTCGATTTTCGTCGACAATCTGAACTCATGTTGGTTGGATTTAGATATCAATCATCATGTCTTCCACAACTAAGAAGCGTGGCAAGAAGTTACAGACTTTTAAAGAAGAATACAGTAAGAAATGGAAATGCATCGTGTAACACCAACTAATGAACAGGTAGACTATGTTACTTTTATTTAACTTGTTGTGCTATCGCGCTTGCCTGCGGGAGCTGCGCTTGCCAGCGTGCAGAAAAATTTGCGTCGCGCAGAAAATTACGGATTTTGTCTCCACATTACGGATTTTTAGCCTTATGATTACGGATTTGTGCTCTGAAAGGTTGGCATCCCTGGTTAAGTATTGGCTGAGATGTGACCATCTGAATAAAAGATTGCCTATGGGAACTCAGTGTTATATTGCTCTGGTTCATAACATTGTAACCTTGGGGCCTACATGTATGTCCATCATACTCGTGTTAGGGTCAAGCCCTGGTTTCACTTGGGCTAGTAAACAATTCCCTCTGCCTAAATATCTCAACATGAGGGTTTCACATTGTAACCTTGGGGCTTATGTCCACCAGACTCATGTTAGGGTCAAGCCCTTGTTTCAGTTGGGCTAGTAATAGTTCCCTCCATCTAAATATCTAAACTTGGAGGTTTTGCATTGTAACCTTTGGGCCCATGTCTATCAGACTCATGTTAGGGTCAAGCTCTGGTTTCAGTGGGTTAGTAATAGTCCTCTCTTGTGAATTCTTCACCCCCTCTGCCCGAGAGTGACAACTTGTCCATACTTGTTTTTTCCCTGTCTCAGGTGACAGCTGAACAATTCACGGACAACAAGAACCCAGGCCCCACATCACAGGTCCTAGCTGGTATCGATGATGGACGCAAAGTACAGGTAAACATAGAATACTCATGCACAGGATAGGAAAAGTTAACATGGTACCCCCTCTAAGGGATTAGCAGTGGTGTACTTCTCAACCGAAATAGCATTTTTACACATCGGTATGAACATTCTATGAAGAATTTAGTGACTGTTACACTGGTAGCTCACTTTAGCCATAGTATGAAGACCATAAAAAAGCTGAGAATACTGGATGCAATAAATCTTGTTAAAAACATGCAGACTTCATTTTTAATATTTATATGGTGAGTATTGTAATTTACTAATGTCCAATGAAATGAATGTCCAAAGAAAATAATTTCCACTTAAATTTCAGAAATTATATTAACTAGTGTGCACTGCATGATATTGAAGTTTAATGTAAAAATTAATACAGTGAATATTTTTCGCATAATTTTTACACCAGCATGTGATATTTTATATTCTTCAACATGATTTGATTTGCAACTGATAGTGATGATAATTTGCCTCACATTTTCATCTTAATTTGCGAATGATTTAAGTATGATTTTATTCATCATCATCATTTTATTGATTTAAGAATGGTTGTATCTAATTTCGCACGGTAATTTACATTGTGAAGAATGTGACTAACTGACAGTATTCATTACAGACAAAACAGGAATAATTCATTATGTCATTTATATGTCGTCGAGTTCAGAATAATGAAATATCATGTAATCAAATATTGTTAATGATATACCTTGCTTGAGTGGATAATAGCGTCCTTTATACCCAAAATTAAAAAAGTAGCTGTAACCTCATAATAAAAATGAAGATGTTATCTGAAATGCTCATCAAACATGATTATATGCAGTATTATTTAGTTAAAAACAGTACTTACAATTAACATCAAACCATTTTTGACGACAAGAGAGTATATTTTATCAAACCAGATATTCCTGATTTTGAGAAGGAAAGATATTATCTTATGAAAATAACACAGTTTTGGTAAGGTGCAAAGATATTCTAAAACAACCGAAGAGCAAAGATAGCTGTTCATTGGCATCTGATGCCTGTCTAGTATTAAAGCTTAATATAGATAGTAAGGACGCGTTTTCCATTCAGTGTTTGTCACCAATTTCGGTAGCATTTGTTTTTCTAGATGTACACATATTTGTGGATGAAATCAACAACAAAAAAATTGCACCAAAAATGCAAAATATAAAGTAGGGGAAAGTCTTGATAAATGATATCATTGGAAGATGGAAATTGCTTAAATGTTTAATGTTTAGAGAACAATTCATGAATTTCACCAAAGTGATACATGTAGTAGTTGTATTGTTACAGTGTAGGGCACTTTCTTGAACTTCATATCAATTTATCAAACTGTTTTATCTGTAATAGCATTTTATGTAGATTTCACACCGGTTGTCATGACTAAAAAATACCTCATGTTTTAGAACGATTAAATTTAACAAAGGCTGCACAGTATCACCAGGGACTTCCTCATATACGCTTCTAATACAAATACCATACCTCAACTTAACAAATTCATTTATCCTAGAATTGATATTCGCTGTGCTGTAAATGCAGTAGTTTGATGCTGCAAAACATACTACCGTACCATTTTAACCATCATCGACATCCATCTAATTACATGGAGGGAAGAGTAATAGACCGGCAGTAGATCAAGCAGTTTGATAAATTGGTAGGAGTGGTAGCTTGGTATTATGTCGGCGCCATGTCGGTGAAGTGAGTCTTGTTCTCACGTTCATGCATGGCATCTTAACTCGTTTGTTTTCCACTTCCTCCTCGTTGTTCATTCACTCCATCACTCTCCTCCTCCTCTTTGTCTTAATCAATCGTCATGACAACCATCATCATCATCATCTATTAGATCGTGGCAAACGACGCCCAGTTGTCTAATTCCCAAGAGAAGTTGATCCGCGAAACACAGGTACAACTCCTTCGACCTACCACCAACACCACCACCACCATCATCAACATGATCATCTTAGTTTTCATTTGATGATGTTTTTAGAATTTGTACTTACCCCCATCTGCATTTTTTGTGCTTGCTCCATCATGTATACCATAACCTTTTGTCGTTTGTTCTTTGCACTCAGGTGATCTGTTTTTGTATTAACATTATTGTGGTGGTGCTTGAATAATACTCCATTTTTACACCTTTCTTGTATTTTGCTCTGATATACACTAACACCCAACATAAATGGATCTTTTTGACTTAATTCAATTGTGCCTCGGTAGAATGGCCTTTTCTTTTAGTATACTCTTCTCAAAGACACCTTTCTTATTCTGACTCGGCACGATATTGTTGTAAATATAGACTAAATGATTTGAAGGTGAAAGAATAGCAACGTGTCGTCATAATAAAAAGTAAAAAGAAGGTGCAAATTAAGTGTCAGATGATGAATTGCTTGAAAGACAGTGATGTAAGCTCATGGAAAAAGAAAAGAAGAAAAGATATTCATATTCAAGTATATTTGTAAAGCACTTAGAGACATTTGTATTAAGCGCTATATAAAAATTAAATATGGTTATGATCATGTTAAATGTATCTTTCAGCTTTGGTCATGGGTTCAATCTGTGAAAAGTAAATAAAAGTTATAATATTAATAATGATAATGAAATTATAAAATAAAAAGAAAGGAAGAAAGAAAAATCCAGTGTTTGAACTCTCACCCATCCCCATTACACTGGCGTGTCAGAAACACAAATGGCAATTAAATTATTAGACAAGGTCATTAAAAGAGAGAGAGAGAAAAAAAATGTCCTTCATTCAAAAATAGGGGTAAATATCTATAATACTTGACCATGTAAGGGTATTTTTTACCAAAAATTCATGAATTTTAGACAAGGGTGTATGTTTATTTGTGTGTCTGTACGTGTGTGTGTGTGAAATGGCATTGGTTATTTTGTAGGTTCATACCCAGAATGCATCTGTCCTGGCTTCATCCTTATAGGCAAATGCCGTTGTTTTAAGGGGTTGTGATTCTAAAAGTAAGGCGCAGTGAGAAGGGTACTTGTTTAACTCCCCTACATGCTGTGTTAAGGCCAAGAAGGTGAAAAGGCAAGTTGTTGAAAATTGCCAATGCTGCCTTGTAAGAGAAGAAGGCACTGTGGTAGAACTCGCCTTCCCACTTCCTCATCTTAAGCAGACTCTTGTGTAGACTGTATTTATTATATGCACATTCATTTGCCAATGATACATAAAAAACATAAATGAGAACAGAAGAGGATGAAATTGGCTTATATATATTTTCCAAACATACTGAATTAAATTGTGCATAATTAAAATGCATCAGAAAGACTTAAATAGTACCTTATATCAGATTGAGATACTTGTGGAATGTTTTCTGAAGTTGTTTACGATGTTTACATAGAGTCCTGCGTATGTAATGGACCCATGAACCTGTAATCTCTGTCTTGCTGTCAAAAACCTTGGCCTCGAAGCATAAAATATCCATTTGAATAACGGTATAAGCCAAGCCCACTCCTAGGTATGTGACCTAATTGCGAACGGAGAGTATTTTCTCTGGATCATGAAATCAAAATCATTCGCAAAAGGCCTGTCCTCATCAGCTCGAGATTGCCAAATATCCCGCTATTTGAACTATCCTGATCACAAATTATCCAATTAATTTGCGTCTTCATCAGCCCGAAGTTGCAACTAGCGGGATATTTGGTTGAGATAGTCATCCCAAGATATCTTCGGTCAATTTGCAAAATATCCTGGTATTTGTCTGATGCGTTTTCACTAGCCCGAAGACTTGCACTATGTGTGAACGCTGAGCAAAATATCTCGAGCTTCTTTCAAGTTTCAAGGTCAAATCACGAGCTGATGAAGACGCGATTTGTAACTTCGGGATTATTTCCCAAATCAGAAATAGCGGGTTATTGGGCAATCTCGAGATGATGAAAACAGGCCTAGTGTTTACGCTAATGGCCCGGCTAACGACCCCATCCATGTAAAGTCGTGTTATAGTATATTTACACAAGATGGCTGTGAAGGCAGGTGTTATGAATGGTTTGAGAAAGAATCCATAGTAAACCATTTTATTCTTAGAATTAATGATATGCATCTTACAGCATGAATAACCATTGAACGAGCATGAAGTACCAGTAGACTAATTAGTCTGATTGACTAGATTAACCCATTGTACATTGCATGAAAGCAGCAGAAAGTAGAACATTCCCACCTGCAGAACTGCATTAACTGTAAAGTAGTTTTCTTGTTGGCTGTAAGCGAATAACATGAGCTGTTTTTAGAATGACTACTAACTAACCATATACATATGGTACATGCTTTTAAATAAAGATTGAGTCTGAAAAATAATATATTATTGTGTAATATGTTGCATAGGTAGGTGGATTAGGGCTGTTCGTCCCTCATTTTGCAATATTCTCGCTTTACCACATTGTATCTATGATATTTACTCATGTCACATCTTCAACTTTAACACTTGCTCTGAGACTTAATATTAATATACTTGTAGTTTTCTTACTTTTCATGGTGAGCAGGCAACCTAACACATGCTAATTATTCATAAAGTAACCCTGTCAAAAATGATAATCCCTTATCACTCAAATCACTAATAACTTTCCATGTATTTAACCTTACATTACAGTACATGTATGTTGACAAAATTACTGCAATTAAAATTTTAGCCACATTTTAGTTCATTGAGGATGTAAAAATTACAATAAATTACAATAAGTTTTGAGGTAGTATGACACAGAGCCTGCAAGTATATAAAAAGGAAAATAAATTATTCTCAAAATGTCAATAGTTCTTATAACCTCTTTTCCCATGTTTGCAAGATAAAACCTCACATTTATGAAAATAGAGTTTGCAATTTTATTTAATTGCATGTGAAACCACAAAATCACCTTGAGCATTTGATTTCGAGTGGATTTGGCGGCTTAATAATCTCATATATCAATATTATTATTATAATTCTAACAAAGAGATATTAAATTCTAACTATTATCCATATTTGCATTCAAACAGTAATTCCTGCTATAATTGAAAGTATATGCAGTATATGCTTGGCTGCTTAACGTAGTCATTTGTGCATACATGCACATGAACTGTATGCATAATGTAAACAGCCAAGAACAAACTAACTAGCTGTATTTGTTTCCAGATGTAGTGAGTGCTTTGGAGGTTTTGCATCAGCTCCGACTAATGTTTCCTCTGTGTGTGTGTGTGTGTGTGTGTGTGTTTGATAACATCCAGCTTATTTGCCTGTTTGCTTGTTTGCATGCCCATTCCATTTTCAATTCAATGATTTCTAATAACATGTAAATCTCTCTTAATTAGATTTTTAAAAATAAGTACCATTATGATTAATGTATATGATAGACTTGTCAGAGTGAGTATTGCAATTGAAAGTTTAAGTGTTAACCTCTAGTACAACAATTGAATTGTTACCCCCAAAAAGCTAGGAATTTTGGACATTATTTCAGTGAACAGCACCCCAAAATAGAAAAATGGAAAATAGTAGATTTCAGAAGATAGGAAAGACGAAACTAATAGGAAAGTTCAGAAGATAATTATATCCCTAAATCATCAAATCACTGAAGAATTGCAGTATATTTAGGGGACCCCTTCATGATTTTGCATTACAATAGTTTTACAGGTCCCAGAACCGGCCATCATACTTCTCATATAAATGTAGATTACAGTTTTTGTTTAAACCCCAAGGGCCAAAATATTCAGCTAAATCTGTATTGGGTAAATAAATGATTGCCTTCAGCTGTTTGTCCATTTAAGTGAGGAAATGTTTAGATCGGTCCGTCAGTATCAATTTACTGAATTATTAATTTCTGTTTTTCTATCCTAAAAGGGCCACAATGTTTTGCTTGGTCAGCATTAGATCAATGGACAATAAAATCATTTGTTTCTGCTTTTTTTTGTTTTACCCCAAAAGGGCCAGAACATACAGCCTGGTCAGTTCTCCGTGGGGTCAAAGGGTATCGTCCAGCGTGACCACCAGAACGACGCCCTCGTTTACACCGTGTACTCGCCGAACCCGTTCTGCAGCATGACAGAAAAGGATATCCTGGAGTACAAGAGAGAAATCGCTGAGAAAACTGGACAAGGTAAAAAAAATCTGCGAGAATAATTTTTTATTTTCTATTTAAAATATATATATATATATATATATGTTTTTTAATTTTTTTTTTTGAATATCGCCCTTTTTTGAGCTTGCACTTTGGAAGTGCCCTAATTTGACAAATTATTATGACAGCCTGTCTAACACCCTTTCCCATTTGTTTTGTTGCTAGATGTACAAGAGATTGAGCTGATCTTCCAGGCCCCAGAGGAAGAGGACAACAAGCTGGTAGACGCCCAGGGTGAAGGCAAGACCATCACAACTACCAAGATCTCTACTACAGTCACAATGGCAGGAGGTGAGTGCATGGCAGAAAGGCGTTCTGCTCTGCGGTCCCACTTCAACCTATGGGGACATTTCTCTCGTCCTGTTCCCCATTAGGGTGGCCCAACACCTGCTCCAGGGATAATTGTACTGGGCTTTATATCGTCAATGTTTGTTTTTTCATAACTCAAGAATGAAAGGTGGACTGGTTGGATTAGGGCCTTTGTTGAACATTCTCCAGAAACAGGAGAAATCAATTTTTCACTTAATCAATTAAAAAAATTGGTAAGGGTATGAATAATTTAGTTCTTAACTGTTTGTGACCAGTCTCTTTCACATCATAAAACACCCATACCTCCCATACCTCCCATACCTTGCTAAGTATAAAATAAATGAAATGATATTAATATAGTGGACTGGTTGGATTAGGGCCTTTGTTGAATACTTTTAGATATAAGCTTTATTATGTCACATTCTCAAGAAACATGAATCATCGACGTACATATTTTCTTAGTAACATATTTTATCATGTGCTTGTGGTATATTTTCAGAGGGTGACACTGCCACAGTTCACAAGACAAGAGTGACAGAGAAAACAACCATCAACGGAAGGGACGAAAACGAGGACGATGAAAGGGAGCCCTCACCTGGTGTTGACAGCACAGGATCATCACCGACGAAGGACCCTATGTCGCCCTCTAAGAAGTCGAAAAAGAAATTCCGCACGCCATCGTTCTTGAAAAAGAAAGAGAAGAAGGAGAAGAAGGGAGAATAGCGCCCTTTCTCTCGCACTTTGAGTCATGCAATGCGAAAGTGATAATTGCCGTGTTCTAGAAAAAATTTTCATCATCCAATGCAAAGATATCTGTAGGGATAATTTGTAAGTAAACCAGGTATGTGGCGGCATGTATGTTAGAACTCGGACATACCATGGAATATATGTAAATTGATGAGTTGGTTATGGAAAGAATCAAGATACGCGATGTGTATGATATCTATAAAGTGTATGCAACGACTCAAAATGACAAAGCTCTTAAGTCTCTCGGAGGCATCAGAAGGGCAGTGTTCAACGCTGTGTACCTAATATTAAAAAAAGGTAGTTGATAGAGTTCGATCCTTTGCATTTTCTTAGCCACTCTAGTGTAAATGAATATAAGATGAGGTGATATAACGGATGTAAGGAATGCTCAAGTCTCGTTTCTCAATCAAAAAGTACTGATCTCTTTGTTATAATTGTGTGATGATTGGTTTTTTAATCAGGCTCTTCATAAACCTGTAGTTATTGTACATCATGCCTGGTCTTGTTTGGAAATATTTCATGTTCTTATTCGTAGAGGAGGATTTCTTATTGCCTTGACTGTTCTTTTCCAACAAGTGAAATGCCTCTAGGCGATTTCTGGTGTAATCCATGGAAAATAAGCTGGAACGGCACATTTTATCTCCAAATTGAAATTTGTACGATCTATTTCATGCTGCATCGAATCAAAGCGTTCAGTAATAAGCTCCGCATTCTTGCTGTCATCCAATGACGACTCTTAGAAACGGCGTACGATCAGATGTTCTGAAATAAATACATTCGTACCCAATTTCTTATATTCCATGGATTTTCTCTAGCTTGAAATCGCCTAGAGGTACGTTATTTTCATTAGATGAGCATTTTCATTGATATAATCATGTTTATTGCCAAAAGTACTTGTAAGTAGGTTTTTTTTTTCCTTTGCTATATATACTGATTATAATGCTAAATGACTTATTCTTATGTAGTATATGAAATATGTGTATTGTGTATAAAAGTAAAATGAAAAAGGTAGCATGCATGATAGCATTTTAGTGGTTTAGAGCTATTCGTAATCATCAATTTTCCATCAAATCACCCATAATTAAACAAACAAAAAAAGAAAATTGTAGCATGCTAGCCGAACAGTCGTGTAAAATAATGCACTGTGCCCTGTCAACAGTGAGCATATAATTGTTGCGAAAGCGCTGTGTATAAAATTGTATAATCGATGATGCCATTGCGATTGTTATTTAAAAGCAAACATGGAGTCTTTTAGTAAAGTGGTTCCCTTAGAACGACAGGGACCTGGGGACAAGTTTGTTGTGTCAAAATTCTTCTTCTGTCGTTCCGGTGATTCCTACGATTCAAGTAAACGGTGTATTCATGTGTATTCATGTGTATTCAAACCTGTGGGTGGACATGACGTTCTTTACTGCGTGGTAAAACTGAAGATTCATTTTTTTTTATATTTGCTGAAATGTTGAAGTGTAGTTATATGTAGTGTATAATATAGAGAGAGTGGACAAAAAATGTGATTTCACACAATCAGTGAAATGTTTAACCTTTTAAATAATGGCTATTAAAAAAATCATTCCCTTTTTGATGATGGGACTGACACGATATTACAACATTTGATGTCTTACGTGTGTAAAGGTTGTGATAGGGGGAGACAGCGTTCATCCAATTTGAGTTACCCCGGACTGAGGTTGTTATGTAAATTATGAAAGCAGGACATGAATTTGAAGGCATGGGACTGGTATATCCAAAAATGGATAAGGTTTGTGTGTGGTGTGCAATAGGCCCAGTCAGAAAGCAGAAAAATTGATTGTACAAAACGAGTCTACTCACAAGATTTCTTTTTTGGGAGCTTGCTGTGGAAGTTGGTGGAGGTTAAATGCCATTTTGTCGATTGTACCTGTACATGCGTTACTGTGCAACGGTTCTCTGTAAATATGAGCTGTGTTTAAGAACAATGAGGAAAATAATTTTTACAAAGGTTTTTGGAGGACTTTTTTTGTGACATCATTCTGTTTTTTTTTTTTCTGTCTGGATTGTCTTTCGTTTGCCCGACGATGGTTTTCGTTCTTTGCAAATCTTCCCGCTCCATCATCCTGTGGTTATAATTCATGCAAAGCGTAGAGCTGATTGAATAGGGAGGTAGATCTATCTATTAGAGCATGGACAGTTCAGACAACGGTTGAGCAAGGTATAGAGAGGGAGATCAAGTTCTTGATATGTATACGGTTATTGGCAAGATACACAAGGTGCCCTGTTTCGTAAAACTGACAGCAATAATGAGTCAGAAAAAATGGGAAAAAAGCTCTAGAAATGATTGAATTTGATCAACTCTGAGCAGATCTGTTGCCCAATTCTAGTGGTTGTTAGCAAGTTTTATGAAACCAGGCCCAGGTTTACTTACGATCTTAACCGTGTGATCTTGTGTAACAGACATATACATTGTGATATGGCAGGCTAAGTTAGGGCAAGTGCGTAGGCTGGGTTGCATGTGTGCCTTGGTAGTACTAGCTGTACATCTGGATAAAGTCGCACTAAACCTGCCTTGTGAGATGGCAAAAGGGGGATGTACAAGTCGGCAGATTTGTGAGCTCGCTGTACGTTGTATAGTACTTGTAAATTATCTGATAGGAGTAAATACATCAATGTACAGAGTTGAATGCTAACTTGTTTTTTACCATAATTATACCTCGGTAACGCCATCATACCAACTTCAAAACCAACCAATCCTTGACCATTTATTGTCATGTAAATTCTTGTTCGGTGAGTTGTCGGTCTGGCGTTAGTCTTTGTGGTGTGACTGAGGTTTTAATTGATGCATGGCAAAGCGGATGGATGATAATAGAAGGTTTAGTGCGACTTTTAAGAGCAAGCACAGTCGAAGTAGAGAGAAAGAGCGAGGTCTAACTAAAAGAGTGTCGATCATGTGATCATCACATGGTCTACGTGCCTATATCACATGCACAGCATGTTGTCGTCATGTGGTGTCCATGCAACCAAGATACCAGATGAGAAGAAAAAAAGAGAGGCAAAAATTAACTTCCACGTTTTAATCTTATCTGTGCAGGATGATTGAACAGTTTGGGGGCATTAAGAAGATTTAAAAAAGATGAAAATTATATTTTTTATTTCTCAGACTATGGATGTGAAAGACGTGTAAAGAAGCCTTGCTTTATTGAAATGTTATTGATTTAAATTCGTCGAGGATCCAATTCTGAAGATTTGTAGTGTTAGACGTAGACTGTAGAAAACGAGACGCATTTAGACAGTAGCATGCATAAACTGCCAGCCGTTAAGAGTTGAAAAGATTGTTGGGATGGAGCGCTATGATATTCTTGTATTTAAAACTAAGGAAGAGAAATTGGCAAAACGGGAAAATGATTGTTTGGTTCTCTTTGTCGGTTACTGTGATTTGTATTCAAATAGGAATTATATGCATTGTTGATGTTGCTAAGATAATTCAGTGTACTGTAATTATTACGTATTCAGTGGATTTGGATTTTAAACAATTACTATTCATATTTAAATGACTACCGTGTTCTAAAAAATCTACTTATAGGATCGTATCAAATTTAAATCAACTTTATAGTACTTGTGTATTTTTCTGTTCTCCTACGGTGCGTTGACTATTCATGTATTCCTATTACCTTTTTTGGATGATAAAGTAATCTCTCCTTACCCTATGATTTTAAAGTAGAGGCTTTTTTCGTATATGTACACACAATTAGCTTAATAGTTTAGTATATGTATTTGGTCAGAAATCTTTCTTTAGGCAATATTCAATGAAATATAAGTAGCTGCATTTATCTGTATATTATCACACTATGAAACACACAGCAACGTTGCAACCCATTTCCATTTTGAAACATAGATAGATAGTTTACATGTATGCAGTAGACGTGGAGAAGGGGGAAAATTTTCGGTCTGCATTTTTTTATACCTGTTTTAAATTGATCATTTTGAGGAGACGCATCCAAGTCATTTCTCAAAATAAATCTGCTACGTTTTTTTATGATCTTCAAAGCACATTTGTGGTCATGTTATGTACTTCTCTTTTACCTTGTACAAACATTGATTTGATAATTTTACATTCATCGATGTAGTGATTTACAAAATGAGAATAAGATATTGGACAATTATGTATCCATGTTATCGTCAGTGTTGCCAATGTAGGGTACAAGATAGATAACTGCTGTATATTTAAATCAATCTCATTCTTTCGTTTCTTGTAATGAGGCCAATTTCTTTTTTAATTTTTACTTTTGCTTCCTCTTAGAGTCATATTTTGTAAACTATTTCGTAGAATGAATTCATTTACGGCATTAAAATGCCCATATGTTAAACAACGTGGACAGTACTAGGTACTAAGTCACTGTTTATTATTTTGTTTTTGTATCGTTGCGTCGATTCATCGTTGAAGCCTTAGGAAACCATTTTTCTTTACTCTTTTCTCTTTTTGCTCGGCTTTTCAAGGTTTCTACTCCAATCATGATATATCGCTTTAGTCTTGGACTAAGTCCGATTGGAATTGAACTGTTATGTATCATTACAGCAGAATGCCATAATTTCATTTATGCAAATGGACAATTAGAATAACACTGCAATGTTCTAGAGGAGAACTATTCTAGATATGCTGGCTATGGAATCCTATTTTCTACTTTTCATTGATCATACATTTGGTTCGAGGATGAATAAGATATTTCTAATCATTTTGTAGTCGTATGTTTGTCTGGTAATGCTTCTTTTTGCCAATAACAAACCAAATACAAGATGGAGGTGCGTTTAGCTGCAATGGCTTTGGGGATTTCTTTATAGTTTGTATTATTTAACCAAGTTACTTCAGGCTTTAGAAATAGGATGAAGACATGTATGTCTGTATACTGCGATGTGTACATGTATGTATGTAAGTGTCTCTCACAAGTATGTACATGATCATCCATTTTTTTGAAAATGAAAGACCTTGTATCAAAACATGCGTCAGACGGCATGATGAAGAGGACATGTATATACGTAGGGATGACTGAAAGTAGGCGTTGATTAGACATCCAGAAGTAGAAGTTAACATTTTCAAGCCAAAAACGGTTATCAGAACATTCGGGGTTAATTTTATTTACATTCTTCATAATTTTCATGTATTTCCTGCTGCTTCTAACTAAGGTGCCCATGTGTTGTTAAGTCACTTCATCAACTAATTATTAAATATCTGCACTAGATTATTTCAAGCCAGAAATTCGACCTCAAGTGATCACACGTTGACAATTGCCTCCCATTGTACATTATTTAACAAGACCAATATGTAAGTTTTCCCTGTTTCTGGGACTAATCCGAAAAATACAAGTATTGATATCTCATTCAAGATGTTTAAAGATCAGTATAGAAAAGAAATCACACCACTGCACAAATGGTCTCCCATCAGTTTTCCTTTTACAAAACATGGATTGAAATTTCAGAAGACAAACGAAAGAAAAAAGATTTGATTGTGCCAGTGCTTGTCTTTGAAGGTATTGCATTCCAGTGTAACTTACCAGTGTTTTTTGATGTTTTGAATACTAATTTAAATACAATTCCTCTCTGTTAAATACAGTTGCACTGATAAAGAACTCCTTATGGTTATGAAATATAGTTCCATTTAATTTCACCTTTCTAGCCTCTACTTTAGTGAGTGCGTGTCCTTCTTCGTGCATCTCTCACACACTATTTTCCCTCTGGAATTGCCATATAGTGAGTTATAAGTAGTAGTCTGTGAAAAAGGGGGATTCCCCTCTTGCTTATATAGTTGCAATATTGTGTCTTCGTGTGATGATGGAAAATAAAAAAAAAATAATAAAAAAACAATTTCGTTCCTGAAATGCCTCATTGAATTTCTTTTTTTATCTTTGTTTGTGTGATTTTGATGGAGTGCGGGTTTCAGTGAAGGTCATTTACAATTTAACAATGTTAAATCTGAGATGCACGGCCCTACAGGTTATTAGTGTCTGTGATATGGTGTAATATTGAAGCCCTAAGCGCTTCAAAATGATCAAGTGCCTCAAAAAAGTAAAAAATCTTTGGGTGACAAGTTTTACCATACTTGTTTTTCTTAATAGACTGTAGTGTTATGAAAACAGTTAGGCAAACACAAAATTTGGTTTTGATCATGGGGTTCCTGACTGACCTAAAGGTTTATAATTAATATTGCAGCATGAGCTAAATCCAGGATTTTGTTTCAGAATCTGAGACAAAGTTACCAAATCCCTTTAAGATTTTGTAGGTGTACATTTGTGCCATGAAATTTATTGCAATATAGACAATTTGACATATGGGATTGATTCAGTAAAACAATAAGAAATTCATCGGGCATATATTTTAAGTCATCTATCTTGGTCTCTTAATTGAATCCCTACTCTCTATCACACACACTCTGCACATTATACTTCTACAAAGTCACTAAAAGAAGGGAAGCTGCACAATACAGATTTGTAATAAATACATATATATTATGTTTAACGCAACATATAAACAACATGGGTAGATATATGACAGAAAACATAGGCTTAATTTTACTGGCACATACTGCAGTATTACAATCAATAGAATCAAATCATGTTCAGATTTCATGTCCACCTCAAGATGATAGGTCATACTGTTATCCTAATATTGCAAAATAAAAACAAACAGCGTCCTCCCTAAATAACAATCAATTTCAATTCAAACAGTATTTAATAAGTTCTGAAGGGAAAATGGGACAGATCGTCAGAAAAAACAATTACCGGTATTATTACTGGTGATGATGATTACGCATTATGTAAAAAAGAAATGACAAAAAATTCAATGTGCAGGGTTCAACACTTCGCTGCCTGTGACTGGCATAAATAAGGCTAATAGAACTTTCAAATTTATGAGAATATCTTTCTCCAGGGAACTGGCAACAAGGTATTCCATTAACCTGTTATAAATGAATGAACTACAATACTTGGAAACTAGTCTGCATACATTACGTGTTGCTATGTCGGGCAATCCTTTGACAAGGTTATATATTGTCAAGAACCTTTTTTTAAAGAGATTGCATAATATTTGAATATGTTAGTACACCACTCCATTTCGCAAAAACAGGGTTCATTCTATGAATTCATACTGGATAAGCTATAAGTAGGGGGACGTATAAAGGACATTTTGTACTTCGCTTGAGGCAAACAAAGGGGGTCCCAATCACAAAAGTCCACAAATAGGGTGTCATCTTCGACTCTGCTAATGGTCATAAGACAAGAATCATATCCCATGATACTGCCAAATTGAATTTGGCCGTTAGTTCCAAACCCCACTGGAATATATCTTCAGAATGTGAGGATATCATTTCCTTAGATGCCATCAGGTAATAAATTTCCAAACAATTCATTTATACTCATTTAATCTGTTGAATAGCTTCAGAAAAAACAGCCTTTTGAATAAATCAGTAGTAGTAAAGTCTTGTGCTAAAATATTCTACCCCTACTCACTAGTACTGTTTTTCACTTTTTTCTACGCACAGCCGCAAACAGTATATAGCTAAGCTATATCTACACATTGGAACATTTGTTATTTTAAATACCAAAGCAATAGAATGTCCTTTAATTTCATTTTTCATTCATAACACAATATACATGTAGTGAAACGTGATTCGTGAATGAAAAAGACCAACATGTACATACATCAACAGCATGTTGTAAGCAGTGGAATTGTTTTTTAGTCCATAAGATATTGCATGAATACAAATTTGATGGGATGAATGATTAATAAATGTACAAATATCGGTCAATAACCACTGATTTTACTCCATAATTCTTGTTCGTGTCAGTTTGCACCCGACGTGACTGAGTCTCGACCACGTGCTGGTCAGTCTGGAAGTAAATTTCTACACGACAGAGACAATGGCTTTGACTTGGACTATACAGAGTAACGCCAGGGAGATTTTGAGACCAAAGAGATTACGCAGAAAGGCAAAATTGCCCAGATTGCAGCAAAGTTTGCAGTGCCTTAGGCGACCACTTCATGGAGAGATTTCTAATGCAATCAGCTACATGACGGGGCAGAAAATAGAGGAAAAATCCTTAGATGAAGCAGCTGAAAAGTATCCCTGCCCCACAAAAAACAGCGAATCACTAGATGTACCCAAAGTAAACACCACCATTTGGGAACGCATGTCTACATCCTTCAGAACAAGGGATTTTAAGTTGCAATATGAGCAAAAGTGGCTCACTAAGGGAATTTGTGCGTTCGAAAATACACTAGATCCAGCCATGATGATGGATCGACAGCAGAATGCTTCGACACAGCTTTGTGAAGCAAACTTCAGTTTGAATTCTCTTAGGAAGGATTTCATAAAGACCGAGGTACACATTGGCTTACGTCAATTTTGCAAGCCCTCAAACAAAGTAAATGAGCTTCTCTTCGTAGACAATCTTGGGAAGCAAGTTAAAGATCTGCAGGACCAGCTAAAAGTAAAGGCCATCAGCATACTCAACAGTATTGCCCGTACAAGAGATACAATGAAGATGCTAGACACAAAATGAAACAGGCAGGCTGGTCAACCTCACAGGTGCATGTCATGCCTGGATCTTTGGGCGCCCTTTTGTAGGGCACAAGTTGTGGATGGGAAACACATTCAAACAGACCTCCCATCCTCACACATACACCCCAACAGCAGCAGAAGGCAAGCTGGCAAAAGAGAGGAAGCACTTTCACCCCTATCAACAAAATCAGGGGAGGAAATAGGAAGTCATCATAGTCTTCTAGCCCAAGAGTGCCTAAGAGGTAAGTGCCTCAAAATCTTCGTAGCTTTCTAATATGGTCGGGGGTCGACTGAGGCCATTCTATCTCAACTGGGCAAAATTAAGTTCAGACAAATTTTTGCTGAATACCGTGAAAGGTTATACAATTGAATTTGATCAAGATAAATTCACGCCTTCCCTATTATTCATAAAATAACGATCAAACTTTAAACATAAGTTCTCCTTTAATCTTTCTATCAATTTCAGTTCATTATAAACCCATCAAATTGATAATTAAAAATAAGGTACTGATGATAGTCACCTTTGTGCCGAAATCATTCAAGGAATATCTTTTTCCCCAGATATCCTCTTCCCACACCCGGGTTAAGAGAGACGCTTAAGAAGGAAATGCCTAGTATAACTATGAATTTATTCATGATCAAACCTGCTTTATGTACATAATTGCATGAAAGAATATCAAGGTGATTAATTAAAAAAAATCATAATCTGAGGAATGTCTCAAAGTTCAGGACGGATAAAACAAATCATTTTTTAATCATTTATATGCTTAGCCAAAGATTATTCACTCGACAGATAACATGGCATGATGCGACTTTGTCAGGTGCAGGTGAACAATTCTCAAAGTTTAAAAGGAATTGCACACTGAAATTAACTCAGATATCAAGGTGATAATAACCTCTTTTAAAAGTTTCAATTGACATATTTGCTAAGAACAACTTAAATCACAATGTGACCCAATATTCAGTATAAGTTATAATAGGGTCAGTATTGTTTAAACCACTATTCTTCAATATCTAGTTTGTGGCAGGTTCCAATGATAGCAGTGAAAAGGTAAATCAGATTTTTCACAAGAGCATGGAGCCTAGCTTGGACAGAAACACCACCAAAACTTTGATCTTTGAAACAAGAATGCTGACATTTTCATATTTATTTTGTACTTGGAAATACTCATACCGGTAATTAGCAAAATTTGCCACATTACATCACGATGTCTATATTTTTTTATCACAATTTGTTAGCACAGCTAATGCACAATAAATGTACCGGTCAAGTAAACTAACAATTATCATAACTATTATCTTACAGCTGACCACCTTTCAATAAAAAGTCAATTCTTTACTCTTAAAACCTGGTAATGTTTTCAATTCAATATCTTTGACATTCATGATAGCACTATGAGACACATGAATATGTTGCTGCGCTAAAGATCCCATCAACACTATCACACTCTACCATGTATGCATGATTGTGTTTATTAACGCCTTCTTCTGACTTGTAATACCCTAGTAAAACCAATGAGACCAATTCGAGACTGACAACAGACTGCAGAAAAAAATTATATTACCCCTCGCGGCTAAGAATTTGTCGGTTTGACAATATGATTGAAGTATCATCATCGATAGCAATCTGTCAAATATCAGGTTAAGAAACCCTATTAAATTTCTCCAACAAACGTGTCTCCAAGTGCTACGATCTTGGAACAAATGTTTCATTTCTCTGTAGCTGACTACTCCACATTCTCCAATGATACATCTAAGCTCTTCCTTTCGGCTTCTTTACATAAAGACAATCTTACACGACTCTGATCATTCAGTCGTCACGTCACTTTATGAGTCCTAATCACAAAGACTTTTGTCAATGACAAATAACAAAAATCAGTGACAAATCTGCTGACAACCAATCAGAAGCAAGGATTTCAGTAGCTTATAACAAAAAGTGTCATTAGTCACTGATGACATGTTTTGTGAAACGTCCCCCAGTTCTTCAATATTCAGCAGAGGCATCGGTAAGGCATATTTATTCAAGAAACTGTGCACAGGTTCAATCGACATAGAGACTAGAGGTGGCATGGCGTCACCCCCCAAAAAAGAATCAAAATACATATATGAAACTGTAAGATATCTTTGACTGAACAATTTTGTTATGTCTTTAATAGTAATCACAGCTCTATGAGTACACAAGCATGACACATATGTACGTGCACTACACTTTCTTTAAATTTAATAATTCTTTTGTCTCATAACTGCCACCATCATCATCTACACGTATGTAGATAAAGTCCGCTGAGTATTAGGTGTTGGAATGGTTCAGTGGTTTTGAATAGAGGTCTTGAAACTGGAGAGTCCCAGGTTCAAATCCAAATAAGTGTGGCAGTGTCCATAGATTGGTCCCTGAACTAGGACTTGGATCAATTTGTCCTTAGATGATTTATACCTACAAGAATACACATCCAAACCTGCTTTTAAAGCTAATACTTGAATACAAATCTCAATCTGAACACTCATCACCTATCTGCGAATCCCCAAGATCTTGTAGGTCTCCAGAACTGGAAGAATTCTACAAAAGAAGAAGAAGAAGACTTGAATACAACTACATGTACCACCTATCTCTGAAGGCCATCTTTCTTGTTCCCCTTGAACAGTGTTATTTATAAAATGCTGTATCTTATGAATTCTGTGTTTCAGGTATAATAAAGACCACCTTTCTTTAACCACAAACACAACTTTTCCTGTATCATTTGAGTGGTATTTATATACAGACTTGACTGAGCTACCGTTTCTTTGGCTCTAAAGTAAAATAAAGAACAATCAATCAATGTTTGGCATCAAAAAATTCATGTTGTCATGGTTATAGGCTCCTGTACTCTAGCCATGGCCATACATGTAGACAGCACAGATTTCAGCCAGTTCTCTAAAAGGCAACACATTGGTTGCCTTGCTTGAGCTTGTGCTAATCGCAATCATCATTGTCTTTCAAAGGCTTCTCTCATATCCTCGGAAATAAAAAACTTTGGCAATGTGACACACGAATCAAAAGCTCTCATGATTGCGGCAGTCCATACAAATCGTCTTTCAATTTCTTTGGGTTTTTGCTGCTCCCCCGCTCAGCCTTGTTGGTCCTCCAGTTCATGCACACCAGCGAAGTCCATGATAGTCTTTTCTTTCCCTGGTGACGAGGCGGCCCCTGACCTCGGTGACATGTCGCCCCCTCTTGATGACCTCTCTGCAAGGTAGATTTCAAGGTTCCGCATCATGGTCCGAGGATTCTTCTTGCAGTTGGCCTCCAATTCTGAAGAGGGAAAGAGGAAATTCTTGTAACAAAGTATCCATGATTAGATGAAATATTCAGGTTCACTTCATTATCAACTTTATTCATCTCAGGAAGCCATTTTGGACAAAGAAAAATTCTCATGAATAATGGCACTGCAAACAACGTCAAGATTACAACATAGTAATCAAAACAAAATGATATGAGGCACAAATTGAAACATTACTAAACTTGACTACAAAAGTCAAATAATACAAAAAATATATTTTACAAAGTGACAAACAACTCATCAGTTTTGCATTATATAGAGAGAGAAAATTATTGGCTGAAGGCAGAATCACTAAAATTCTCTGCTTACCATTCCTACTTGTGTATAAACTTTGCATACTTCAAGATATTCCATTTTGTTTTTCATTTCATCCACTGATCTATTTGCTACATTCAAAGTATAGAAATGAACAAAGGAAATAAGAAATACCGCCAACTATTGCCCAAGGAAAACCAGATGGTTATTAGTAGTAGTTCCTGTCATATAAAGGTTCTCATCACTGCCAAGTGGTTTACAAACCATGGTAGGATATGTAAATAAATCAAAATTTCCGATAAATTTGAGATTCATTTACCTTTGAGTACAAAGCCTGAATCGTGGATTGTTTTTCTCTGCTGTTTCCACGTCTGGTAGAGTTGTAAAAAGATGCTGGCGTAAAAATCGTTGATGACACCAAAGACTTGCTTCCGTCTATTGCATTCTCTGTGGAAATAAAAAGACAAAGACATGATCTCTATCATCATCATCATCATCATCATTTATTAAAGTTCCCATATTCCCTCTTACGAGGGGTTACTACTTTTTCTCGCAATGATGACACTCCCTCCTTCCACTTTTTCTTGTCTGAAGCATTCTCCTTCCTTTGACCAATCTTACTGCTTTCTTTCTTCATTGGATCTTTTCATTAAATCTTCAGTCTTCCTTTCCCTTTTTGTGCTATCCACTTCCAGGTTCATCACCTTTCCTTCAAATTTGCCCAGCACTACTTCAAATCATGAACTTGGCTAAATTTGGCATTAAATCAAATCTTAATCCCTACCTGATTCATGGACTATACCTTGGTCCAGGGAGCAAAAATGCATAATGATCTATAGGTAAAAGCATGGATCTTAAACCTCAAACCCTTCACATTTAGTAGCTAATTTATGAGAGAAAAAAAATGCATGAACTAAACTTTGATAAGATCACAAAAGTATACCCCCCTTATTCTGATATGATTGAACCGTTTTAATGAAATTTAGCATGCGCTTCCAATAAGGTTTTATAACATGGACTATCAAGCCTAGAATAAAAAGTAAGATAATTTAAAAGGTGAAAATGGATGACTAGCTCTTTAAAGCCGATCTGCACTAGTGGTTATCTCATCAAATCAGCTCTCAATTAACATAAGAAAAAGGGGACCATGGGGGATCAACGGGTACAGCTTAGGCATTGTTGGCTATATAGAGGGCACAAGTAGCTACAAGTAGTGCAGTCCCGCTTTAAGACAGAAGAAAGAAAACCATACCTTGATAAGTGTTCCTCTCGTAATGCCTGCAACGCTATCCTTGTCATGTTGATCGCCATCACACAGAAGGGAAAATTCTGTCAAACAGAAATGAAAAGATAAAGTAGTCAGCTTACACGATTACAGATAAACAACCCCTTGATTCGCAGCATACAATCTATGAGGATAAAGAGGTCAGTTGAAACTACAGGGGAGCATTTCACGAAAAAATTGTGATCAGTGACAAATGACACCTTTTGTTATAAGCCACCGAAATCCTTGCTTCTGATTGGTTATCAGCAGATTTGCCATTGATTTTTGTCATTTGTCATTGAAAAAAAGGCTTGGTGAAACGGGTCCCTGATCTGAATGATAACTTATACAACCATAAATTTCACACAAACAGCACTTCCATACAATCTTGCCAGGCAAGTCCGTAGTTCACTTGCATTGCCATACATGTCACTATGCAGCATAATTCTAAATGCACCAAGACATCTATATACTACATGTACATACACACTATACCCTACCCAACTTTGAAACTAAAATAGAGAGAAGGCGCTATGGCTCAGTGGTAGAGCAGTGGTCTCAAAAGCGGGTCAAAACCAAGTCGATGCGCTCGTTCCTTTTTGGTAAGGCATTAATCCCCATTACCAAGTCCCTCAGAGAAGATTTAAAGCCATTGGTCCCCATGGTTGCTTACTTACAAGCGTACAATCCTTTCTTAGCAGTCAGGTAAAAGGATCATCAAACATCACCACATTTACATACACTATATACCCTTTCTCAACCCTAAATCCCACAAAAAGTTCAATTAAAACCCAAACCCTATTCATATCCCTGACCATATATTTTCGACAAAATATGGCGCGGAGCATGCAGTGGTTCACTAGCACTGCGTTGGTATTCACCTGTGTTTCGTGCTGGGAGAGCTTGTAGATTTCTTTGGCAAGAGGAAACTTCTGAGAGTCCATGAGAAAGTCCAGCAAGGTCAGAAGTCCTAGGAACCCACACGCCCTCAGATCGGTTGATGGATCCGTTCCTACATTCATACAAATACATATATATCATCAAGACTAAGAACATAGAAATTGGTTGATTTCATGGAAATTTAAAACCTCATGTCAATATAATATGCAATAGGGCGTCTAAAATATGGTTTTTAAAACATTAAATTGATAACTGCTGCATATTTGACACATTGTCTTCTCTATGTACACCACCAAAGAAGATTAAAAAGTGTGGGATAACAAAATAAGAGAAGTTATTTTTTTTTTAAACAGTCTAAAAGATAAGCACTCACACCATCATTAATTGCAAAATATGTTGTACAAATGTTATCAGACAATTAAAATAAAATAAAATCTGATTTAAATTTTTGGGTACATCTTTGCTCTTATCTAAGATATTGAATCGGTTAATTATGTGTGTATCCAAGTGCAATACTATTCTTTATTTTATGATTCTTTCATGCTGGAAATAAAAAGTGCCTTTTGGGGCAACTAGGGGCTCTTTTTGGTCCAAAACACAACAATAGAGTTTTATTGATCTGTTTTCGGAGATGGACCCTTTTTTCACCTTGAAAGCCTATCTGTTCTGAAAGAGATCCAAACCTCTTTCTGGACCCAAACATAACAACAGAGTTTTACTGATCTGATTTTGGAGACAAACCCTTTTCTTACCTTGAAAGCCTATCTGTTCCCAATGAGATCCAAATCTAGGACAGTCTATCGCGCTTCCTGTCAGCTGCTTGTAGACCGTCTGGAGAACACGCTTATGAATCAGCTCATCATCATCAAAGGGATCTGATCAACAAACAAACAAACAAAAAACAAGCTGTGAAATCATAAACTAAGTGAGTTCTTTATGATTGCCAATGTTGTGGCAAGAAACACAAATCGGACAAACTCCATGTTCACTAGCAAAGACCAAATTCCCGCTATCTAGTAGACCCTTGTTCATCTTAGGTGGTACCAGGACCAGATTCTTTAGTATCAAATGTGCTCTGGTCCCTAGACCTGGCCCACTTACAAAGTGATAAGGTCTCTGTCATAGCTGAAATGCCAATAAGTACTCACACCAAGCAACACGTACAAGGTTCCTCTTATCATGTAGACCTTTCTTCATTTTAGGAGGTACCAGGACCATTGCTCGAGTTTCTAGACCAGGCCCACTTAGAAAGTTCTAGGCCCTCTCTGTTATAACCAATAAGCTACTCAGTACTTACACTGTGCAATAGCAAAGACCAAGTTCCGCTCATCCAGTAGACCTTTGTTCATCTTTGGTGGTCCCAGGACTAGATGTTTGAGGGCAGCAAACCCTGTCCTCTGAACGCAAGGCTTGATCTTACTCTGTCAAAAGAAAACAGTATATTCAACATTAACATACCATACTACAGTCAAACATGTGTTAATGGCCACCTGTCTATAACGGCCACCTGTCTATAGTGGCTATGCATTTTGTCTCATACGAGAGAGGAATGTGTGTTGTAGAACCTGTCTAGAGTGGCCACTTTTTCTGTTTCCCTTGGGTGGCCTTAATAGACAGGTTTGACTGTACAAGCAGAAAATGTTACTAGTCTTTACCAATATGCAGGTTGAATTTTACTCTTGTCAGTGAGATATCAAAGGGACAAGAGCATAATTATTTAAAATCAAAATATCACAAAAGAAGAGAAAATATGCAGTTTTCTATTGATATCTTAAGAGCTGTGAAAGGGCAATCCTGTTTCAGTTGAGTTGTAATCATATTTATAATCAGATGTTATTACAGATCTACTGATGTAGTGCATAATTTTTCACAATCCATACCTTTTGTAATCCTAAGACCATCACCTGCTATATACACACAACAAGGTATATTAAACTGCCATGATTTACCAGAAGAAAATAAAAAAATCAGAATGATGTGGAGTTAATCACTATGCGCTGTAAAAAATTGTATGCTTTATCAATTGATACACCGATAACAAGGCTGTCATACTTTTCAGTCTGTCTCTGATGTTTTTACCCTTTTAAGTCCATGAAGAAACAACACCTACCGTAAGTAAAGAATTACGTACCATATACTTTTCCATATTGCATGTCTGAAAGAAGCCCAGTGCTTCATTAAATGACACCAGAGCTTGCTTTCTCACTGCGCTGTGTTTACCTGTGGAAAATTTATTAAAATTATCTATTAATGAATTATGATAAATATACAAAGGAAACAAACATAATTGTCAGCCTGCACAATATTTCAATTCAAAAGGTTACATAAGCACTGCAAAGTCTATCGTTCTGCAACATTACCATAATATGACCTTTTCTCCATTCAGAATTTTCAGAGAGGTTTACAGCTACAACGTTTGGTAAGTTATGAATTATGAATGTATTTTTCCCTCACCCCTTCGAACTATCTATGGATGGTTAATAATTTTGTACAGGGATTATCCGCAGTTCAACACTGAGAAGTGCTCATCTCCGCAGTTCAACACTGAGAAGTGCTCATCTACTAGACCTACAGCGTTGTAAAACCCAACGATATAGGAACTCTGCAATCCCGTTTTTAACACGAATGCTCAATTCTTCCAAGTAGTTTGAGCTTTTTACCCCGTGAATGCCTACTATAGGTCTACATGTTTTTATTTATTAACGTGATAAATATACATGTGCCCTGAATATACACGTGGCTTAAATTTCTTAAATATATTTATTTTTTGATACTCATGTTCCTATATATATTAATGAAACAAATTTATTCCGTTTACATGGTTAATGCACCCAATTCAATTTTTTAATTCATAGCATATATATATATATATTGATAGTACAATAATGCCAGAATGAGACACTGCGTTTAGTGTTGTTATTTGTTTACACTTTTTTACACATTATTTACACACGCTTGTTTCTTTAGATCTTCTGCAGGTGCCCATCTCATTTCTTAATTTCCAACTTTCTTCATATTTGCTAGTAGAATTGCTTATTTTTAAAACATGTAAATCCGATATTATCACCATTACGTTTTATCTATCAATTTATGTTAATTGTGTTTAAAATGTAAATGTTCAAAATCTAAATGTTACGAGAAAAGGAAATGAAATACTTTGTCCTTTATCTCTTTGTTATCTTCTTTTTTCCCAAATCATCCATGTATGTAAATTCGATTTATTTTATGTCTGATGTGCAATATATTGAAGGTTCCATTATTATTATTGTTAATTTATTCCTTGAACTAATTTGTGATCGTTTCTATATTGATGTACACGTATTTTTAATTTCTCCTTATTTCTTTGAGCTTTGTAATCTTTGTTTGTATCAGTCTCCTGACTGTTTTAACATGGAATTTTGACACAATAAAACCGAAATGAAATGAATGAAAGGATTGGTTGGACTTTATTTTGAAGTCACAAACCATTATACAACCCCCCCCCCCCCCCCCAAAAAAAAAAAAAAAAACACCCCCAAAATCCACCTCACTCCAGAGGTTTGCGTGACATAAGAACGTGAGAATTAGTACTACAATTTTCTTTTCTATACAAAAGGAAAAAGAATAAGACCTAAATAAAGCATAATATTTATCACACACAAAAACAAATCACAAACAAATAAACAAACCAAACAGCAATCATTGCACATCAATAATGGGACATGTTCTGGTGTCTCTAGTTTCTTTACCTCACAATCAAAGACAGCTGATACTCACACAGTTAAATCACAAGATTAAAGTAATCAGAGGGAGGGAGGGAGGGAGGGAGGGAGGGGGGGAGGGAGGGAGGGAGGGAGGGAGGGAGGGAGGGAGGGAGGGAGGGAGGGAGGGAGGGAGGGAGGGAGGGAGGGAGAGAGGGAGGGAGGGGGGGTGATGGATTTTACAAAGCAACCTCATGATTTTCAGTCTCAAACTTTTTATTCTTCAAAATATGAAACTCACATACCTATTATCGTTTGCTAAATTAGAAGAAAATAAATCACAAAGTCACAGATAGAAAAGACATGCAAGCATTTCAAATCTTCACAATACTAAGAACTATTGTACACGTATTATAAGCAAACAAACTGGTCAAGAAAACAAAACGCACAATAAAGAGACACATGAAAAAAACAATACCTGGCGAAGCAGCTCCTATTGAAGTTTTAAGAGTGATGAAAACAATACAAAAATAATCATAAAGGAAATAAATACCAGTGTAATGCACTTTGCTCCCTTATAAATTAATTTCAAATTGCTGGAAGCATTGCCCTCATGCAAGGATCCAGTTTAAAATTGCTACAGGAAGGAACAATCTTACTCTGAATTTCTTTCTTTTTCTAAGAATTTTTCATTAAGAAAACAAAACAAACATACTGTAATCTCATAGTTAATATAGATATTCTAAAAGTCCTTTGATCAATGTGGCAAACTGAATGGAATTGCAAGCACTAAAACAAACATCTTATAGCAAACTGTCCCTATTGAAGCCAAGGTTTATATCTGATGACGTTTGAGTTAGCTTTGCTGGCCTAAAATTTAAAATAAACCTGAAATAGAAAAAGATTTCAATTTAGAACTTAAAGGGACTGCTCACCTGGTTGAATTGTTTCTACAGCGTCCCACTCAGCTTGGGCTCTTAAAAGCTGTTCTGAGGGCTCCACGACTCCAGTCCGACTCACTTCTGCCTGTATACAAAAACATAATACACACAAATAAACATGTGGGACTAAAATGTTCAGATATTAAAGCTCTCTTGTTGTAGTCAAGTAAAAATATCCTTAACTTAGTCTGAATACATCAGCAGCAGCAAATAAGCAAATAACTGAACGACTTAATATGCAGAACATGGAGAGTCAGAGTGGCACTTGACATGGACAAAACCTGAAAATAACCAGAAAAAATGGTTTCAAATTGTCAATGCTTACCTTCAAAATGTCTTCTGTTGACGGGGCGGTAACCCCATTATTTCCGCTATCTCCATTGGCTTTACTGGATCCATTAACCAAAACAGGGTCACCGGTTTTGTCATCTTTCTCAACAGCCTGGTTGTGGGTCAATGAACTTTCATCGGAAGGCTGAGATTGGTCAGTCTTTGTAGGTTCCTCAGGGATAGGCTCTTCTACCTATAAGTATTTAGAAAGTGGAATTAACCAAAATATAATGTTTGATATGGCTATGCCCTATAAGAAGGATAGGTCTGTACCTTAAGAAAAGAAAAGAAATCTTTCTCCTAAAAATCCATAAACTTAATATTTTAGAAGAAATATGAAAAATACCAACAAAATGAAAAAGCTGAGGGTGACTAAAAGACAAACAGGCATAGAGAGTGAATAAACTCACACAAAATAAATACATGTATCATAGATACTTTGCCATGAATGCACATAAACATAACCTGTATCCTCAACCAAATTTTACATCTCTATCCTAAGTCAAAGTTCAACTTTGTCTCATACTATACTGATGACTCAATTAAATATCCACAAAAGATGACATAAAAGGGATATGGACCAACTGCCTGCCAAAAGCCTAACAACTTTCTCTAAGCTCCTCAAGTTACCGGTACCTCAAAGGTCCTACACAAACTTACTCATCTGTGTGTTAAAAGATACACAAATCTGAAGCGCACTATGATTAAATAAACAAAACTGTGGTAATCTGAGGCAAATGTGGACAAGCCTTTATGCATCTGGAGCCAGTTTCTTGAAACCGTCCCAAGTCTAAGTTCATGGACATCCCATAGAAATGCGTGTTAATTCTATAACACATGTTCCAATGGGATGTCTAAGAAGTGAGACTTATGACGGTTTCGAGAAACTAGCCCTAAACTTTGACGGCATCACTGACCTTAGCAGTCTCCTGCTCCACAGGTCCATCTGCTTCATCCCCACTACCTCTGGTAGAGGGGGGCGTTGGTTCAGGTGCCGTGGTGGGGGCAGACGGTGACTTGAATACATCAACCTGTGCAAGCAAGGAAGGGTAGACAGTTACCATGCAATACCAAAATACATATATATGCCCACTGCTTCTTTCAACCTTTTATCTATTTCCATGTCAAGATAAAAACAATATTATTTAATGTTTAAAATACAAACATACACATCTGATAAGGCAATCTTTGTGGACATGATCACTATAGAAAGGTTCATATGAAACAAATTTATTCCCTCATCATCATAAACTAAAAATGTAAAATTATGAAATTGTCAGAACAGACCAAATGGTGAAGGACCTGCCAGGAAATATCAAGGAGATGCCAATTTATGCTTCATTGATCACAACTACAATAAGTCATCATTTTCTTATTATTAATCGGATTTTGCTCAAACTTTTATTTTTATGCTTTTATCAAAACAAATAAAATATGACTTGAACTTCCACATAGGCCTACATTCTGAAACTCGTCCATGGAGACCTTGTAGTTGACTGCCTCACAGGCGGAGTTATCCCCTTTTGCCGCTGGCGTGTCATCTTCAGCTATGATGTCATTGAAATCATCATCATCATCTTCCTCCTTGTCTTCAGGTGGTTCAGTGATGTGGATCGCAGGAGGGGTCAAGTTACTACTGTTGTCCATGCTACATGTTGGTGGACAAAATTGATTCTAATGTATTAAGTGAAACCTGCTGAAGACCCACCCTCTATAGAAAGACCCCCCTTCTGTAAAGACCACATTCCTTTACATTCCTTGAAATTGCTTTTAATTCAAACTTGTAATAAAGAAACCTGCACATGAACATCACCTGCCTGTAAACACTATTTTTCTTGTCTTCCTCGATGCTTGAAAGATTGAGTGGTCTTTATTTTACAACAATACATAACTGACTGTTTAACTTTAAGTCCAGAACTTGCTTGTTCAAATGTTCAAATGTCAGCCAGCAACATTATGACTGAGTATACAGACCAGTTATGCCAGATTTAATGGAAAAAATTCATCAAACTGCACTTAATTACCATCACAAATATTTTTGTCCTGTATAATATTGTCCAACATAAGTCTTAGAAGATTTTTGAAATATGGCTTGTAAACTTCACCATTTGAAATCAATGGTCCGAATACACAACCTATCCAAATAAACAAAGTCTGGGTATGAATGTGTAGGTTAGAGGCTCACTTTACATTAGATCTAAACACTAACACTCACTGTATGATGGTGTGACCAAAGTTCGCGAGTGACGTAAGTTCGCTACCTCAAAAAATCAGTAAGATTTTGAAAACCCGATACCACCAATGTAAAGAGGAACACAAATTACCTAGTGTCAATTTTCTCTGGAATGGGGTGTGAAATTATGAGAATATTGACAAAAGATCAGCAAATTTTGCAGTCATTTGCATCTGTTCTGAAAAATTACTAATTTACCAATAAGGGTCTGAAAATCTTCATTTTGAGAGCAGGTATCGTCAAAATTGTAAGTAAAAAGTGTTACGGACTGAGCTAATTGTATGATAGAGTAAAGGAGCCCGTTTTCGGACACTTAAGACAAAATCCTATTTTTAGGACTCTTTACTTCCTATTTATTATCATTTCTTGTTCAAATCATGAAGCAAATATTATTATTTAAACAAAAAAAGAATCCCAGAAAAAAATCACGAATTGCCATGACAATATTCATTTCAATTTTCACTGTTTTGGAGCCAGTTATCGGCCGAGCGTTTCAGTTTACGGCCGCATGTACAAAGTCAATAGGAAGCGCTCGCGCGCGCCGTGCGTTTCCGCACTGATGTACAGCACAAGCGGGCGGAGCAGGTATCCCACACCTGAACTCCCTGGTGCTCGCCTGGCCGAAGACAGGCACAGCGGTGATCGGAAGTTGGAATCTGAATTAGACAGAGATATCGTGTGTGCGTCGCGGTGTGCGGCTGCATTGATTTAATACATGCGATGAGATACTTTTGAGCTTGCGACTAGCACAAAATCGGGCTCTAAATCTGAAAAATACTTGAAATAAAGCTCATTTTATGGTTCCCATATTTCTTACAGACACGCGTAAGATACTCGATTTTTCAGATTTGGGTAGCGGGACCGTCGATTACATCGCTAAAATGTGATATTTTAGGATATATTTTCCATTGCAAATGTGGTTCTTCAGTGACACTGGCATGGTATGGTATGTGTGGGATATGTGTTATGCTATTATGCGATGTATTTTAGAGTGATTTTACCTTGCATCCAACCAATCGGCTGAAAACTGGAGCTGGCCGATTACCGGCTCCTTTACTCTAGATCTATATTGCCTTGCATTTTTGCAAATTATGAAATTACCTTATATTTTTGGTGGATCATATTTTTTTATAAATCAGCTGTAAACCCCGTACTCTAAGTAAGGTCTCATTGTTTTTATGACTTTTTTAGTTGCAGCGCGCACGGCGATCGGACATCAAAATTTTAGATCGCGATATCTCTGGAATCCTTTGACGATCAATTTTCTAGTTGAATCAATTTGTAGTAAAAAAAACTTTGCCGTCCATTTGGTAATAATTGAAATGAATAATTTGTGTAGAATATGAGAAATCTTAGATCGAATAATAATATCACATTTTCTAATATTGCCAAAATCTCAGTGAACTTTGGTCACTCCGATCCTTCATAGTCTACAGTCAGACTTACAATTGCAACTTTTTCTTTTTTTAAAACAAGTTTTCCTCTCGGTCTCACCATCAAACTCTCTTTAATATTCATCCTCTCTCTCTCAGCTATCCCCCTTCTCTCTCCCTTGAGTCCCTTCATTTCTTTTCAAATATGCCATATGGTAAGCATTTTTAATGCAGGTGTTTGGAACTGTGGCATAATGTTGCCATTGTGAATGTGATAATTTGTTAATTATGATTTGGCATTTGTTGCAGTTCTGACTTCTGTTGATAGATCTAGATTCTATAACGTGAGAACGACTGTAAAATACAGACGCCTCACTTTTCAGTACACTCAAATCAACATAAATACACAGGGTGCGATGGTAATGTAACGATGTGAAAGTGAAACTTAGAAACTGTAATTTGCCAAAACAAAGTTGTGTTTACCTGAAAGTGGAAGTCGCCATTTTATTTATTTTAGTGGATCTTTCAATAACTCTACTTAAAATTTATATTTAATGGTAATTAAATGTAATGAATAATATGAAAAATCCATCAAATAATATTTTAAAATGTAATACATATTTTTAAAAGTCATAAATTAACAAAAATTAACTTAATTGCTATTTTATTTAAATTCTAATAAAGTTATTGGTCCAGAATCAAGATGGCGGCCTACACGACCTCACGCAATTTGGTTAGATTAACAAGCAAAATCTGTTCTTTACAAGCGTCACTGCGACTACACCGTACTTTCCGTAAGAATTATCAAATAATTATTTTATGATATTAAAATTTGCTGACTTCAAACTAGATTCTGTAATTCCATTGTATGCGAATTCATGATTTATTCATGATGTGCCTGTGGCTGTGAATGTGATGAGTGGAGTGTTATTGAAATCTTGTCCTGTGGAGGACGAGCATAATGCGTGTGCGAGCGCTACGCCTACGGCCACGGGGACGTTCCTCCAGGCGCACAGCCTTGGGCCCGGTCTTAGGCATTGCCCGGCGCCGCCTTGAGACGCGGGGAAGGAAGTGCAATGCCAATTAGACGTACATGCAGACTGATATGTATTTGTCAACCTTATTTATTCCCCACATCGGGATGAGACGGTATCCCTTGCGGCTTGCTTCAAAGTCGAGGGGGTGAATTAGTGAATAGCTAGCCGATTTCGAGGGGATCAATCTGGCCCTGGTTTTAATTCTAATTTCTAGATTAAACTAAACAGTTTGATTTAGAAAAAAGAGTTAAACCGTATGAAAACGAGGATTGTCTTCGTAGACATGGACAGACCCGTCAGCAAAAATAAAGATCGTCCACATTTTTGCAGGCGATTCTTATTCCCGATCCGCACATTGGCGATGCAAATAAAAAGGATTCCACAATGATTTTCTTGATGCATTTCACAGAGACTTATACTTTAAGAGCGATAAATCCTCTGGCAGGCGGATATCCCATAAAAGTTGACGGTAAACTGGAGGTATTTTATTATGCAGAATCCATTTTTTGCATCGCCAGCGCACGGTTTGGGAACCAAACTTGCAGAGCGTTGAAGAAGAAAAATGTCTGCGAAAATGCAGACGATCCTTAATTTTTTAAGACACAATTTTTCGACGTTTACCAGGATATCCTCCTTTAAGTGAACGATCCTCATTCTCGGACCGGCGCCCCTACTCTATATAGTGCTAGACCGCTAGAGTCTATTATTATTGGGTATGATAAAAATAACATTGAAAACATGGGCATAAAGAATATATTATTGTTAATCACCCTCACCCATGTTACCAAACTTCAACTTTACATCACAGGGGGTCATTATTTAATATAAGAAATTCATAAGATTTCAAAAATTGAGCACCATCTTTGTATTAAAAAGAAAGGACCGGATTGATTTATTGATCAAATCTTAAATCTGCTTTATAATTAGATCCAGGGAATTCTGATTTCTGAGTTCTCTAAATATTGTCTGAAGATTACAAAATTTGCAAGTATTCTGAAAAATGTGACCATTGACCAATTCCACACATAGGAGCATCACTATCCTGGCTGTGTTGTAAAAGCTGTGCTTTTGATTCTCAACATTTCAAACTTCACTGTACAAAACTCAACTGATTTCACTCAAAATTGGTACTTTAGTGACAATTGATGACACCTAAGTAGCAGTAAAATACATTTTTTTCAACTTACTGATGTTAAAAAGAATAATTAAAAAATTCAAATTGTAAGTCTAGTGTCAAAATTTGCTTACAGCTGTATCGACATGATTGTGTACAGTCTATGCGATATTGTGTGGTGTGTATATTTGTGTATAGACTTCTAGGTCCCTGCCTCACAGCATGTATGCAGTGCTAGAGGTCAATACGCTTTAGCATTGACTCTCTATGCTTTGCTGGAGTGACCAATTCCACCTATTTCAAGTGGTGCTCAACAGTTGACACTTCCCTTAATTTGTGTCTTTAACAGTGTCCCATCAAGTTCTTTTTAACATGATATAGCTGAAAATACTGTATATATTGTTAGTAACTTGGTAATCAAATCAACACTGGCCCTTGTGACATCTTATCTTAGTTCCATGTAATTATATTGATTCATATTATCCATGGTTAAGCATTTCAGGCAATTGTAATGCCGTTACTAAATGAAAATATTCCTCATTTTGTTTCCTTCATGTTTTTAACAGCTATTTTGGCTGCAAGCACCTCACAGCAGGCAAGATCATTGTGTAGATCAAGCGAATGGAAGAGTCCACATAAAGACAGACAACAAGTGCAACAAACTGAGGTATAAAGAAATAGCGATGTATATCATTTGATTTTAAATTATTGTCACATCAACAACTTCGATTATTTTAGATGAGCATAAAGAGATGAACATTTGAGAAAGTTCACGGAACAGCATTCTCTGTAGAATGGAACAAAAATTGGAGTGAAACAAAGCCATGTACAGAGCTGCCAACTAGTACGGATTTTCCGTAATTGGTACGGAAATTAACGACCATTACGGAATGTTGTCTCAAATTACGGATTTAAAAAAAAAAAAAAAAGTTTTTTTTTTTTTTTTTTTTTTTTTTTTTTTTTTTTTTTTTTAATGAATTAAATATGATTTATCGTAGCGAGTGCTGTGAATAGGAGCCATTTTTCATGATAAACTGTGTTGTGATGACCTGAAATTCAATACTTAACATCTTTGTGTGAGTAAAATCACCAAAAATTTCAGATAATCATGCGTCCGCGCAGTGTTGGCGTGTCGTTTTTTTAGATTCATAGCGCCGCATAAGAAATTACTGATTTATACCCCAAATTACTGATTTTGAGCCTTGTGATTACTGATTTTCTGTTCTGGAGGTTGGCAGCTCTGCATGTAGAATTTTGCTAGTCCGGTGAATATGGGTATAGATTAGCTAGTCCCATTTTTAATCCAAACTACAGAAATAACACACTTTCCCCATGACCCAAATCACAACCCTATTGGGGTGGGGGCTCCTTGAAAATCCTACTCTAATGTCTTCACGCAAGGCTCAAATCCCTACCCTGTCTGGCGGCTAATTAAGAATTTTCAACTGAATATTTCTAAAAAGACATTGTGTATATTTTGTTGTTGTTATTTTAGTTGTTTGTTTTGTTTCTCTGTTTATTTTAGGAGTATTGCAATGCTGTGTGCATTATAAATGGTGTTTAATGCATATATTTTTTAAACAAAGTATTCCCAAAATTATTTTTTTTCCCCTTTTTTTTCCAGGCCATCATCTGTGAGGAGGACCCATACAAAGTAGCAGTAGAGAAGTGCATTTTATGCAAATACCAAGTTCCAATTTCATATAAGGTAAATTCTGTTTATATTCATATGATGTAATGAAATACAAGCAATCAATTGAATTCTCTTGATCTGTTTGTTTCAAGAAATATTTGATGCTTAATTATTTGAGTATTAAGGATAAAAAAAACTTGAGTAAAGTTCAGTGAAAGAATGGATGCTGATGAGGGTGTTTTCACATAATAATAATAATAATAACTATTTCTTATATGGCGCCTTATATGAGGGGGGGGGGGGGAATAGAAAAGATTGCAATGAAGTGGGACTGCAGAGCTGTCCTTACCTGTTCCACTCAATCAAGAAAAATTGCCTCAAAAATCTCTCGCTCCTTAATATTATCGTTCCTAAAGAAAATGTTGATTTCACATAATTGTCCATACTAACGCTTATTAAAACATTTCTTGTTCGTATCTTCTTGGGAGCACTGTTGTAGAATTAAGAAGGCTTTTGACTCTCGTATGAAAGGTCCTGGCTTGTATCCTAGGGCAAGATGTTTTATCTGCATTTGCCTCTCTCATCCCAGGTGTATTCAATGATTACCTGGTAATAATGAGGTAATAATAATTGCAGAGAACTCAGGAAAAAAAAGTATAGATACTGATGATGTCATGCTGGATAAAAAAATACAATATTATCAGTATTATTTATTTATTGTTTTATTATTTTTATTATTATTATTTTGTTTCTTTGGTCTTCCAGAATGTCCAGCTGCTCTCTCAGTTTGTATCTCCTAATACGGGACGTATCTTTGGTCGTCACATCACTAAGCTTTGTGAAGCCCAGCAGCGTCGCGTCACCAAGGCTGTAAAGAGGGCCATAACGATGGGTAGGTGAAAGGGTTTGCAGAAAAGCCATCATTTTTAAAAACCACATGAATGCACTATCTGCATAAACTTTGTATCCAAAATTATACTTCACTATAAGCCCAGTAACTTATCCTTTCAACCCTAGCCCTCACCCTACATATATATATATATATCTTTGACAAAACAAATAGCATATGTTGCTAGAGTAGATGTTAGGTCATCAGTGTCATATCTGGGTCCCGTTGGATAAAACACAACATTGATGGTAACTTCCATGGAAACTTCAATTTTATTTGAGTGACTCGGATGTTGCCATGGTAGTTAATATTGATGGCAAAATTACCATCAGTGCTAAGTTTTATGCAACAGGACCCTGGATCATAGATGCATAGTTGTATAGTCAAACCTGCTTTAGTGACTACCTGTCTACAAAGGCCACATTTTTTGTTTCCCTTGAAAATGGTTTCTCATTGAAACATGTACTAAATAAACCTGTCTACAAAGACCACCTGTCTATAAAGACCACTTTTTTGTGTTTCCCTTGAGCGGTCGCTATAGACAGGTTTGAATGTACCTTCCATAGCAAAAACTTTGTTGATGATTCTGCTATAAATTCCTATTCAGGTTTTATGCCAAGCCAGTACAGGACGACCCAGTTCCTCAAGGATCCAAGCCTCTATGATGTCAGGTACACAGGGAGCACCGCGATCGGACAGTATTCCAAACTCCCAGATAGCAACATCAGCGAGGAGGAGCTGCTGGAAATGCAGCAACGTGCTGAGGAAGAAGCAAAGACAACGCAAAGTTGATGAACGACACTTTCATATTTAAAAGGACTATGCGATATGAAGCAGTGATGTG